GACACTCTTGATGCACCAATTATGTCCGCATCTGGGGGTCTCACTGTATACAGTGAGACACTCACATGTGGACACCTTGACATGGGGACAATTTGACATAGGGACAGTGTTTCAATAAAAAAACCATAAAAAGGCCCAACATATGGACACTGATTCAACATGAGGACATTGCATGATAACATTGCCAATACATTTTAGGAAAATTGACTTTTATTAGGATTAATTGCAAGAAACAGATATTTCCAACCCTAAGATCTATTATATGCAAGAAAAATTCTTGGGTACTTTTCCCATCACTTTTCCATCCATTCAGCTAATAAAAAAAAAACCTATATCTCAGAGGGACTTCCTTCTCTCTATGTGATTTGGATGTTATTTTTACAGATGACAACGTTTCAATGAACTGTACAGCAGTATACTATTCAATGCTCCAAATATTCTTATTGGGTTGAAAATATATTCACTGAATAAAATTCAAGTGGCAATATTTTTTTTCATGCAAATCTGAAGATTATTTCTTCAATAAAACACCAATTGAAAATTATGTAATTTAAGTCTATAAGGAAAGCAAGACTTGACTTAGGGACACTCTTGATGCACCTATTATGTCCACATCTGGGGGCCTCAATGCACAGTATTTCATAAATTCTGCAAAATTACAAGTACTGTATACTGGATGGAACTTATGACTCCCATTTTTGTTTAATCCATGCGTTTTTCAGCGTTCCAATTTTCAGCAGTGATGCACTCGAATAGTTTTCGAAAATTTGGAATTTGATCGAACATGCGTTACAAAGCTGCTACACGTATTACTAGTACTACAACGATCTTGTCTGTACAACAATTTTCTCTGTTTAACGAATTTATTTTCGGTCCCGTATATAGGCTTGTCTTCAACAAAATTCTGTCCACGACGTTTTTTTTTTTTATAGTCACTTGAATTTCGCTGTGAAGAGAGTGGGCCTTTATTGAATTTACTGCTCATGAATATATTACCACAAAATAATTTTTACCATTTCCTGGTACCTCAGAAACTCGTTATAACGAATTACTGCTTAAAATGATGTTTTCGGTCCCTGTTCAGTATTCGCCGCAATACTTTTTTTCTTCTTACTTTCGTTTCAACGAAAATTCATTTACAAAGCTTTTTTCAGCTCCCAAACACTTCTTTGTAACGAAATTCTTCTGTATTGAACCATGAAATGAACCATATTGACGGCACTTATTTTCTCTTTTTTTTTTTTAACTCTCGACTTTGTTTCTCAGCAATGCTGACCAGAATTTCTCAACAGAGCGGACGAAATCTTCAATGAATGCCATAAAACGAGGATATACTTTGAAAGCGAGTGAGGAGAAAAATTAAGAAGAAAAGTAAATCCGAATTTGAAGCTCCTCATTTCCCATCATACATTGACACTTCATTTATCCCGTGATTAGCTATGCAAAATAGCTGGTTTCCTGCGCTGCTGTTACTTGATGAGAAAAGAACAAGTGAAAACGTACATCCTGAGCACAAAAATATATGCAAAAGACGACTGTGAAAAAAACCTAGAAAATAATTCGACGTTTGTGGCACATGCGTGGACTTTCCCTGGAAACATGCCAATGGACTCCTGATATTCTCTAACTGCACAATTCCTGGCAGCTATTCATTAAAACCGCTTGTCAAACCTTTTTAACAGATTCATGTACGCAATGGTTTTCAAAGTTTTAGACTTTGTGTTTTCAAGACTAATTTCATCGCAAAGTGCTTCAAGCTGTTCAGATTTTTTAATAACCCAGTCGGGAACTCACATTAATCATCTAATTGTCATCTAAGTGACAGAATGGATGTTCTAACATGTGAGCTTTGATAAATTTGAGCTTCTTTTCAAGCCAGCTTTTTTGAAATTTCAATGAGCTCATGATGCCATTTTATATAGCCGTTGGACAGCTGAGGGTTCTTTCCCATTGCAAGACAGAGCTGGATTATTTTTGTATCCTCCAGAATTTTCTGTTTTTTTGAAGGTCAGAAAAATCCTTTCAGGTGGGCAGAGGCAAAGTTGGGATTAATCCCAGAAAAGCCTGTTGCTTGACTGAGCATTTTTTCCCCTCAAAGTTTTTCTGTACTGGGAAAAACATCAGAATTTTTCCTGACTTTGCCCTTGACCCCCCTTGTTGTCATTTTTTTCATCTCTCTCAGGAACAACAAAATTTTGCAAAAATAGTCCAACTTAGCCACTCAAGGGTTAAAAATATTTATACAGTGCCCCCTGTCTAACAGTAACAGACCTCCCACCTAAGGAATTTTTGCCCAACAGACCAGCTCTGCAACAACAGGCAAAATAATCCACTAAACAGACTTATTCTTTTGGTTCAAAATTAGTGTTCAAAATTGAAATTTTTTAATTTTTTATATTATTGAATTTGTCTAAAGGACTTTTTGTCTAACAGACTTGTCCATTGCACTATTTAAGTCCATTAGATTGGGGTTGACAGTATATGTGTCACAATAAGTCTCACAACATTGCAGGTTGACTAAATCATTATGTCAACATGCAACATGCAGATATTTGAGAATTTTACTGAATGTATGATTTTGTGTTATATTAGATGCGCAAATTTCATTGAAATCAGTAGCATTTTCATCTTACCTTATTCTGGTTATGTTGATTGAGCAAGGATATCAATTTTGAAAGACTGTGCTTTAAGCCAAGCAAGATTTTGAAAGAGTTCTTGATGAGAACTTCTTTAATTTTGTTATAGTCTATATATACTCATATTATACAGCATCCGAGTCATCTATATCGTATATATTCATTTTCAATTTCAGCAGGAGAAAAATCACTGAGTATTATCAATTTTGTTAAATTGTTGAAAAGTGAACGGATTCATCAAGTAATGATGGTTTTTTTACCGTTCAAGAAAAAATTAAAATCGGAATTTTTGTTGTTGCTTCAACTCATAACATGAACAATGCATGGCCTATTTTTGTTCCATTACAACAGCAGGGAAAATTTACAAAAATAAATAGACGGAAAAGCTTTAAATTCATTTAGAAAATGGCTTGACGCTTTTATTGAAGAATTTGATCAATCGTCACTATGAAAATTAAAGAGACGAAAAACTTAACGAAATATTTTTTTCGGCAAATACTATTGAGCGAAATTTTTCACGTTTCTTAAACTTCATTTTATTCGTTTTCATAGCTCCCAGCATTGATCAAATGTGAATGACCGCGTACGAGTGTGTTGAGTTTCCGAGCAAAGAATGAGAAAAACACTTTCCTGGAAATCTGTTGGTTGATTTTCTAGCTTCATATAGTTTTGATTTTATCAAGGACGGATTTTCGAAGGCATGAAAAAAGGAACGTCGCCACTGATGGAAAAAAACATGGTGATGTCAAGTGCTTCTGAATGCCAAAACTTGGGAAATATTATCTAGATCGAGTAGCTCCTATGGTGATTCTTGCTCGAAGGTAAATACCGGAAAACTCCCGTCTGCATGAAATAATATGTGCCAACAGTCGACGCCCATTTCTCAGTCCATTTTTCACCTTTCAACCCATCAGCTGAAATGCGTGGCTGAATATACAAGTATTGCACATAAGGGCGCAAGAATGAAGGAAAACATCTGTTACCTATAGATACTCTAAAACAGTGTTACCCAACCTTATTTGGCCTGCAGGCCAGCAAATTTTCACAAAAAGATTTCTGGACCAGCAAATTTCCAAGAAATTTCTGTGGACATAACAAGTTTCATAAAATTCTTCATGATGACTCAGAAAAGTTTTACTTGAAAGACTTTGCCACAGTTTTTCTAAAATTTACTGCTTTAACAAAAATTAAGTGGGGGACCAATAAAGCAGCTGTAGTGGAATGTCTTCAAAAAATTACAAATGTGGGACTGATGAAGACTGGTTTCTTAGAATGAAAAATTAGAATAATTTATTCAAGCACGCAAAAATCTGTCTGAAGTCATGTTATTTATTATAGGGGAAAAGCTAAGTTTTATTTTTTATCAGATAATTTCAGCTGCCATTGTCCTTCCAAAATTTAACATAAAGATAAAAGACTTTATCCCTCCTTTTTTGATTATGCCAAACGAAATTCCCCCTGGACCAGCAAAAACCGGGCACCATTCCACCGTCCAAGTGGTTGGGGAACACTGATCTAGAACAACTTCAATCATGTACAAATATTATGCAATACCTATAGCTAATCTTTATCCTTTCCAGTTCACACCAGACCCGAAATCTCTTTTATTACACGGGAAGAAAATTTAGCGTATCTAGGCAGGGAGGGGGAAAATCGGGAAAAAATAAATTGACGTGAGAAATGTAAATTTTCCGTCGTCGGCAGCAGGAGCTTCTTATTCTGTCACAGATCCGAGTGAATGATGATGACGGAAGAAGACCTGTTATATCCACAGATGGTGACCAGTTTTTCAAAGTTTGCTTGTGTCTCGGTGAAAACGAGAGCAGCGATCAAATCCCGCAAAATCCCGTCGATAATCGCAGTTTTCGTGACCTTGTTGTTGATGCATTTCTTGGTTCTCTGGTGCTATCAAAGAAATTCCATCATTCCGTCTCGTCGACTGAAACTCGAAGACAATCCGTGGACAAGTAAGAAAATTTGACAATTCCGTGATGCTCAGGCAATTTCCACGAATCAAAACAATTAGTAATAATGAGGTTTTTCATTTAATTTTTTGAATATTTCTAAACATATTCACTACTGCTCAGCTTGATGATGTTAGCAGACGGATTTCCGGCAAAAAGGTGAAGCCTGTGAAATGTCGCGTGATTCAATAGAAAAAATTGTTGACGGTATACAATAAACGGTGGCTAAAAATGTAATTTTTAAAATCTGAAATCGAGTTCTTTGTTGAACCAACGAAGGGCAGCATATCCAATTTAACATCCTCCAAATCATTTTCAGATCACTAAACACATTCTGCTCATCAGCGTGGGATTATTTTTATATTGCTCAAACATTTCTTCCTTACTATTCGAAAGTTTGGGCAAGTTTCTCATTCAGTGCGATGGAAATTAAAATTCAAGATCATGAAATTTCAAGATTGTACTGTACTTTCAATAAACTGGCAGTGAAATATGGAATGTCATCCCCACTATGAAGAATTTCAAAGGAATAAATATGGGATGCGATTTCGAAGTGGAATGCAGAATATATTTCACGATTTGACTTGGGAACTCATCATTTGTTAAAATTGGAAGTTTTTTCTATTAACAGGAATAGATTGATTATGAAGAACCCCGACATAGGAACATTTAAACTAAGGGACACTTGAAAGCCAAAAAAAACTAGGCCCAACATCTGTACATTGGCTTGAGGTAGAGACACTTTTCTGGAATTCTCTCAAACAAATTGAAACATTAAATTTTTTAATTTTGATATCATTTGAAGAAATGAAGCTATTATATTCCCGAAAATTGAAAAAAATATTTTATGATAAATTTACTCTAATTCATAATCAGAAGCGAGCTGATTTTGTGCCATCTGTTTTCAGAGTTTTTTCTATCATCTGTGCAGCATATTCTATAGTAAAACCTTCTTTTTCTTTGCTTTTGGATGTCATTTTGGTACCAAAAGATGAGATGTCATGTGGTTTTGTTTACACTTTTTTTCTGCAAGTTGAAGTTGAGGGAAATTATTTTTATTTAATTTTTTGAGGACTTATTTCTCATTTTTGACAAAAAGGAGAACCAATTAAATACATTAGCATTGAAGTCTAAGGGAAAGTGAGATTCAACTCAGGGGAAATTCCAACATCAGGACACTTTTATAGCACAAATTATGTCCGCATGTTGGGGTCTCACTTCTCTTCCTGAAAGCAGAATTATTCCCTGAAAATGTATGTAATGTGGACATGTGACATACTCACTCTTGAGATTCCGAACGAAATTCAATGACCTTGTGGTCATTAACTATGGTCATCTTTTTACTATTTTTAATAGTAGCCCAGCAGATAGACTCGTGCCTTGTAAATACGAGTACTAGTGTGTCCCCGCATTAAAATAACTATAATGCTTTTTGGATTTTTCTGAAATGCAAAAATTTGCATTGTGTGAATCATGCATATCCCTAAGAATAAATGGAGACAATTTTAATGCATTCCCACGATGTTGAAGACAGTGGTAAACAGTAAAAATTCTTAACACGCAGAAGTGAACAAATGTACACCCTACACTAATTACTTTTCACTTCATTGTCTAAAATCAGCTTCTGTACACTACGTCTTGCTTTCTTTCTGAAAAAATTCAATGTGGACTAGATTTGTACATGTGAAGTCCCCAGATATGTCGCTTCTGACGGATATTTTTTGCTTTTTCATTCGTTTCATGGTTGGATAAGAAAAATTGAAAAGCTGAAATTAATCAAGGAAACATGGCAATCAAGGAATAGTGATTGCACCTCAGAGAAATTCCCGAGTTTTATTCTTATTTTGATCGCATATTATTACAATGAAAGTTTCGTAACGCGGAAGATTTTTGTTATGCGAGAACTTTTACTCAATTTTGATGTCCAAACAATGTCTTTGTGCGAAATTTTCGTGTTATAAGGGTATTTCTTTACGTGGGGACAACGATTTGACTTGGGAACTCATCATTTGTTAAAATTGGAAGTTTTTTCTATTAACAGGAATAGATTGATTATGAAGAACCCCGACATAGGAACATTTAAACTAAGGGACACTTGAAAGCCAAAAAAACTAGGCCCAACATCTGTACATTGGCTTGAGGTAGAGACACTTTTCTGGAATTTTCTCAAACAAATTGAAACATTTAATTTTTTCAATTTTGATATCTTTTGAAGACATCAAGCTATTTATATCCCCAAAAATTGAAAACATATTTTATGATAAATTCACCTTAATTCATAATCAGAAGCAAGCTGATTTTGTGCCTCTGTTTGCAGAGTTTTTTCTATCAACTGAGCATATTCTATAGTAAAACATTCTTTTTCTTTACTTTTGGATCTCATTTTGGTACCAAAAGATGAGATGTCATGTGGTTTTGTTTACACTTTTTTTCTGCAAGTTGAAGTTGAGGGAAACCATTTTTATTTAATTTTTTGAGGACTTATTTCTAATTTTAGAGAAAAAGGAGAACCAATTAAATACATTAGCATTGAAATCTAAGGGAAAGTGAGATTCAAGTCAGGGGAAATTCCAACATCAGGACACTCTTAATGCAAAAATTATGTCCGCATGTTGGGGTCTTACTTCTCTTCCTGATAAAGCAGAATTATTCCCTGCAAATGTATGTAATGTGGACAGGTGACGTATACTCACTCTTGAGATTCCGAACGAAATTCAATGACCACAACTTTTTAAAATTTTTAATAGTAGCCATCAAATAGACTCGTGCTTTGTAAATACTAGCGTGTCCCCGCTTTAAAAAAAAAACTATAATGATTTTTGGATTTTTCTGCAGTGCAAAAGTTTGTATTGTGTGAATCATGCATATCCCTATAACAATAAATTGAGACAATTTTAATGCATTCCCACAATGTTGAAGACAGTGGTAAACAGTGAAAATTCTAAAAATGCAGAAGTGAACAAAGGTGCAGAAACCCTAATTACTTTTCACTTCATTATCTAAAATCAGGTTCTCTACACTACGTCTTGTTTTCTTTCTGAAAAAGTTCAATGTAGACTAGATTTTTACAGGTGAAGTCCCCAGATATGTCATGATCATAATCAGAAGCAAGCTGATTCTGTGCCTCTGATTTCAGAGTTTTTTCTATCAGCTGTGCATATTCAATAGTGAGACTTTCTTTTTTTCGCTTTTGGATCTCATTTTGAAACCAAAAGATGAGATGTTACCTCGTCTAAAATCAGTCTAAATTAATCAAGCAAACATATCACTTGTCGAGGATATTTTCTGCTATTCCATTTGTTTCATGGTTGGATAAGAAAAGTTGGAAAGCTGAAAGTAATCAAGCAAACATGGCAATCAAGAAAAAGTTTAAGCACCTCTGAGAAATTCCGGGTTTTAATCTTATGCTGATCGCATATTACAATGAAAGTTTCGTAACGCGGAAGATTTTTGTTATGCGAGAACTTTTACTCAATTTTGATGTCCAAACAATGTCTTTGTGCGAAATTTTCGTGTTATAAGGGTATTTCTTTACGTGGGGACAGGGGATTTGTTCCCGGAAGACAGCGAAATTACGAAAAGGTTCACGAATGAAACATGTGGACTTGTTTCGAGTTCTGGGAGATTGGAAAAATCGAGTCTTGGATCGGTTATTGGTGAGTACAGTCTTCCGAGTTGTTTCTTTGCTGGTAAACTCAACATTTCTGGGCTACCAATGGCCTCATCTGTTGTTGCCTTACGTTTTTGAAGGTTTTAAATGCACCATGCAGGTGTCGCCTCTTTATTCCCCGAGCCAAATCAAACATCGCGAATTCAATGTAACACATAACGCAACACTTGCAGTGAAGTAAGACTTGATGCGATTCAGCCTATTCGATTTTTCCAAAAATTAAATTTCAAATTTCAATAAATGAGAATTTTTGACAGAAATTGAAAATTACCTACACTGGAAATGCCAAGAAGAAAAAACCAATTAATCAGAAAGTTTAATTTATACAATGGTACAGTTTTGTACAGCAGGGTCTATAGATGCAGAACATCCAAACAATTTGACTCGGGGACTCTTGAAACTCAAAAATCTGACCCAATATCTGGACAATGTCTCAAGATATGGACGCTGAACAAAACATTCTAGACAAATGGATAATTTATTTTTGAAATTTTGAAAATAGAGTATACTACATACTACATACAGGTGGTACCTTGCAATTCAACCTCTGGTGATTCAAAGGTCAAATTTGCAGGGAGGTTGACTTACAATTTGACCCTTTATTCCCCTCAAATTGACCTCCTTTTCTGTAATTTTTGCTATTTTGTACTTATAATCTCAAATTTCACAGTGTCTCCAATTTGACCAATTTGCGATTCAACCCTGATTCAGCAACAGATTAGGGTCAAATTGCGAGGTACCACCTAGCTGTATACTATATAATATTTTTTATACTCTACAGTACAATGCATTATGAAGATTTTATCTTGTTATTCGAAAAATTATGAATACATTAATTATCAATGCAATATGATTCGTAATCCAAAACAGGCTAGCTTTGTGTTTTCTTTTTCAGAGTTCTTTTCATCACATGTGCACAGTGCATGAAGAAGTGTGCTTGTTTTCTGCTTTTTTGGGGTATTTTTTGCCGACAGATGATATTTTGAGGGGTTTTCTTCATCCGCACAGTTATTTATTGTATTTTGAAGAGGAGGAACATATATATTTTCAAACACTATTTGGGGATTTCCCCCCAAATTTTTGATAAACGGTTGAACCAATTAAATATATTCCCATCCAAGTCCAAGGGAAAACGTGAAATAATTGAGCGTCCGCAACTCGGGGCCAATACTTATTTAAATTATTCTGACTTTCATAAAAAGACAGGTGCCAACAAGTTTTGCGAATGAACACTGCTCCAGTGGTCAATTTCGAGACGGATGTGGGTTCCAAGACCACCATCAGGCTTTTGAATAATCACGAAATGCTGTCGTTGCGAGTGCCTTGCACCAACAGGAGTCCCCCGTGTTTTCCGGATTCCAAGGATGCTCTCCTCATTGCGTGGGATGTCTGTAACCACCTTCAACCCTTCAAAACTGTGAGTTCTTGCTTATTGATTTTTTAAAAATCTCAACCCTTGGGAAGAATTGGACGGTTGTTTTGTTATACCGTAAATTTCATTACAACAAATCTCATGATGCATTTTTCATCTTGACAATTTTTCTTGGTCCTGGCTGCTTTTTCTTTGGGGAAATGGTGTAAAAATTCAGTAATAACAAATTAGGTTTCCTCTATAATCTCAGTGTATATTTACATTTTTTCTTGAGCATGTGTGTACTGTACAGGGCATAGCAATTTTTTATCAATTGTCACAACATGAAAAAAGGCAGATTGTGCAGAATTTGAAAACCTCCAAAAATATAAATGCTAATCTTCTTGAGTATAGGGATGTTAGCTTTCCAGGAAGTTTGAAGCTGTTATCAGCATGTATTTAGATTTCTATTAGAATTTTTATGCATGGCTAACTTTTAGATGCAGTAGAAAAGAATGTTTGGGAAAGGTACTGATCGATTCTGGGAACATGCAGTCCTTAATGAGTGAATGCGCTTTTAAAAGGATCCATTGTGTATTTTTAAGCTTGTGATTCATTGAGATCAGCATACTTTTAGTAAACGTAAGAATAGGGAAGGCCTAAAATAAGCAAATTTTAGTTCACACATGGAATTTTTGCACTAATATTTCATTGAAAGAATTTAGTTGAAAATGCAGGATACTCTGTGAAAGTTTGTTGCAGAAGTACTTCAAACAGAAGTACTTTAAATCATCTTCAACATGTTTCCCACAACATTGAAGCTCTACATATGCTGCACAAAGAATTTCGAATCTTTATGGTTAAGAAGAATTTTTCCTTCTAATATAACCCTGACTCTGACGTAACAAGATTTTACTTTACACCCAGAAATTTCCATAAGCAATATTGTCTTTGTGGTTCACAAGTCACAACTTCACTGGATTTAAAATTCAAATTCACCTTCGATTAGATCGTTTTCTGTTTCGTTTGCCTCCAGCAAATCGAGTCAGTTCTGTGATTCGAGAACTTTTGTCAGACACTATTCATAAGACGAGGAAAACTGTACTGTGTCCAGAAAAGCTCTTGTACATGTATCATAGAGATGAGAGAAAGGCACATGAATTCCAGTCATGAATTTAAAATCATACGTCATTATAAAGCGTGATAACTGTAGGATGTCGTTAATATCCGCAGGAATAATTCCATGCCCACTGGCTACCGGTTTGAAAATCCCAACAGCGGCTGTTTCCGTCGGTTATTGTTATGAAAATTATTTTCGATTAACTTGTTATTAGCAATTTTTAACCACTGCCACCAATAAAAATTATAGTAGGTGCATTTCACAGTTCTATAGGTTAAAACAGTCCTCATATTTTTAAAGTTGATAAGTAGCTTAACTAAGAATAATTAACTTTTAATTATCTTCAAAAAGAAACCTTTAAGAGGTTTTCCTACAGCCCTACACTACATGTTAAATAAATCCTTCTTCCATAAAGTGCTTGGAAAATTTAGGAACAGAGAAGATTCGAAAATGCGGAGATCGAGACCCTCTGCAACCTTTTTTTGCGTGGAAACGGGCTTATCCGAAACGAGACTTGCTCCTGTTGGACCCGGATTGGATCTACGAAATGGCACGCATTTTGCAAAAACTGTCTCCTGTTCGTCTGGGCAAGCTGATCCCATCTACAGGGTTTCTAGGTTCGAACAAAGCATCATTTTTTTCTTCAATCGCTATCTTCCGAAATTGGAGTTTTGTACTGCATTTTACGTCGTTCTCAGTTGCTCTTCATATATACTTCAAAAGATTTTCTAGAACACGAACGACTTATTTAATAATTTCATAAACGTATCCTGACTCCTGAGGATATGATATCATTTTCAAAAATGTCGCTGTTTTTTCCGCTTTCAAATGATTCTTAATAGCTCTCTATTCTCAGCTAAATTTAAAAAGGTTCTGGGAAATTATATTTTGTGTGCAGTATTGTTCGTAGGTCTTGGATGATGATTCGGCATTCGTGTGAATAAGGTACAGTACTCGAAAAATCAATCCACCCATTTTTTGTTTCACGTATAAATTTCAATTAACCCATGTGCATCTCTTGATCTGATGAAGCTCTGGTTTTGCATGAAACATCATGCACTGGTTTCACGCCGGATACGTCAAAAATTTAATTTTTCGAAAGAAAAAAAAGGTCAAAGTCTCAATAGCAACTTGTTCAGCTTAAGTCCCAATGACTTAATTCAAGTTTAATAGGAACATACGAAAGTTTGAGAGCAATGATTTTCTGGTCGTTTTGCATTCATTCAATGGTCAAATTTTTAAAGCAAAAATACATAGTCCTTGAATATAAATTCATATATATAATCACGCACACAAATTTTAGTAAGCATGTCTCAAACTTCATCATATGTTCATGATGAATGGAATGATAATACAATTCTACAGTCTCCAGGATATAAACCATGCATCTAAAAGAATCTCAATAATAAACACTGTCTTGGTAAAAATACTTTTTTTTTCAATTTAAAATATTAAATATTCCTAAAATATTATGAAAAGATATGATTGAAACTTGTTTAAAATTCCTAAAATATTTAATAAGGAGTAGTATAAATTGTTCTGGTTAAGAACTGTCCTAGAATAAAGTAAAGCCAGGATTGAAAAAAAAACTTATTTATGAAAAAAGGATTGAAGAGGTTCCATGTCAGATTGGGAATTCTTGTATGGATCTTCCTTTTTTTGCAAGATGGTTTGCAAATCATTTGTTTGATTCATTTAATGCTTATTGCAGATTGACAAGTACAGAAATTGATTAGTACAGAAAAGTACAGAAATATAAAAACATAATTTGAAAGAATCTCAACAAAAGACCAGCCATGAAAATAATGATCTTCAGGGATTATTCCACACGTGTGAATCATCACTTGATCAAAGGAGTTAATGGATATTACAAACACACAAATGATTTGCATCTTCATCAGAAAGCCTTGGAGAAACTTTCCCTGAACAGGACTGGAACTAAGCCAGAATCACCAAATGCAACAATCAATTGTCATCTGAACCCCAGAGTGACCAGACCTGTTTTTACTGTGTGATATTTGTGAACCAAATCTATTTGAAGGAACCATACAGTCCATTCAGGGGTTTGAAACCCCAAGGCCGCAAATGGCCAATTGTGTGTCCTCTCATTTACTTTAACAGTAAAACCCAGATTCTTTGTCAGAGAGGCTTTTGGAGCCCCTGACAAGTGCTACTGTATACACATATGCGTAAAATTAAACCTCTTATAAGGCTTTTTTTCACCCTGTTTTTCCCAATTTTCCTCAGGTACCATCATTCTCATGCACATGTGCAAAGAGGTTCACTTGTTTGAGATGATCCCGTCAATCAGAGCCGAGCAGTCCGGCGGGATGTGCCACTACTTCCTTCATTACTTCAACGTTCCGGACAACGGACTCAATTGTAGCTTGACTGAAGGGCACCAGAAGGAATCCGAGATTTTATTCTATTTGCGATTCAACAGGGCCAGTGATGAGCAAGTGTTTTCCAAAGGCCACGCAGTGATACCCGGGTTGTCTGGGATCAACTGCTGAACAGATTTTCAACAAATGCTTTGATAATGGTTTTTTTTTTGTCTCAGAGGAGATTCAGCCAAATAGTAGATGGTCTGTATACAGTATAATATCACCTTGGGCTTTAGAACTTTGTTTTTATCATCTAGACAAGGAAATTTGCCAGTCAATCTTCAAGCCAAATAGAATACTGTAATTAAGTAGAAAACATATATATAAGACTAAATTGAAGAACATTATGTTATGTTTTGTCTATGAATTGCATGTATTGCAATAATGGTTCGTCTCTGCTAGAAGTTAACCTTTATTAACCCTTCTGCAGCNAAAGTTGGGATGTGTATTGGCAAAATGTTGTGCCCATCAAGAGCACTAGAAATGAATTAGTTCTGAATCCTCTGATGAACTGAGAACCAAGGCCTATAAGTTGGGAAAAAATTTATTAGTTGAGCACAGCCTGTATTAGAAACTGATCATTATTTACAACTGATACATTCAATACATGGTCACAATAGAGGAGCTGACAGAAAAGCATGATGTTGACCAAAATGTAAGCATGATAAACTTTCACATTAGGTCATATTGTGTCATGGGTTGAATGATTTTTTCTTTATTTTGCTTGTGGAAAAAGGAGGCAATGAACAGTGCATGTAATATCTCTTTGTTTCTCAGAAGTTCTTTCTAGATATTCCACTTGCTGTGGAAGTACATTATTGCATTTATTTTTAAAAATTACTTTTCCATTGTATTATGAAAGAGGACAGATTCTTCCAAAATGTAGCTCTGAGGGGTTTTCTTGGGTTGTGGGTGTTTTTCCTTCCATCGATTCCTTCCCATTTATGTAAAAGTTAGTTACTTGGATTTTCTTTCATCAGGTGGATATTTGATGGATTGTATTTGGTGACCTGGCTTTTATCAGAAAATATACACCGAACATTGCTTTATGTGGAGTTTTTGGGTTCTCTTTGGCGATCAATGAAATTATTTCCTTCGAAAGATTTTATTTTTGGAGGGTCTATACAAGTATTGTTGATCAGAAGCGATCTTGATGTAATTTTATATTTGGTACAAGACAAATGAATAATTTAAAAAACATATTTCTTATAGACCTAAATTTCCTATTGATTGCCTTTCATTAATAATTTTCTCCTTAAAAGAAATAAAAAGAAAAAGGAAAATAAAAAGGAAGAAAGCAATATTTATTATTAACAAATAATAAAATCCATTAATTTGGACGTACCCTGATTTTGCTCACTAATTTTTCCACGAAAAAGTATTCAAGTTAATTCGATATTTTTAAATGCCTCTTTGGGAATTTATTTCAAATCATTTGGATACATCAGTTGGGTGGGGTTTACGCCAGGATTGGATCTATGGGAAAGGGGACTCACACTCACCAATACACCGTAATTGAATAATCAAGATTTCGAATAATGCAACAAAATTTGAATGTTCATGAAGCGCAAAAATTCGGTGAAAATTTTTTTTTCGACGTCACTCTACAGATGATGTTTATATATGCAATACCGTTCTAAACGATTTCAGGAAAAATGCTGCTTTCGGAAAGCCCAAAACACGGAATGCTCAGCGTCGTAGCCAGACTTTCTGAATAAACGGTAACTGGGTTCGTTTGTGTCCAAGATGACGCTCACGGGTTCGAGGTTCAAACCCAAAAGGGTTTCTTGCATTTCCCGGACCAGTACTTGAGCGATTCCTTTTCCTCTGTGTTCCTCCGTCACGTGCAAGATTCCTTGGCATCCTGTCTCTTGCATTAAGAACCAGCCAACGAGTTGTTCTGTGTCAGGAAAATAAAAATTTAAAAAGGGAAGAATGCAAATAATTTTGTGGTAGTCTCAATTTACAACAGTCGACCGGTAAATTTTCAAAAATGCAAGCAAGAATTCCGATTGAAGCGCAATAAATTGAATGTTTGCCATGAAAAAAAACTGTACAGTACTGACAAATCCAGTCTGCGATTTGAGATAGGGACTATTAAAGACATCAGGGTTAATTTCAGACAGGGACAGTTCCAGACAGCTCCAAAGCAACTGCAGATTCCCATTGAATGCCTCAAAATGTCTGGAATTCTCAAAATGTATCTGCCTCAATTTGTCTCTGTCTCAAAATGTGTTGAATTTTCAACATGTATCTGTCTCAATTTCTACCTGTCTTGAAAAGTTTCAAGTCTCCATTCCTCCCTGTTATGTCAAAAGTTTCTGTCTGAATTTGTCCCTGTCTTGAAAAGTTTCTGTCTCCAAAAGTTAATGTCTTGACTTGTCCCTGTCTCCATTTGTCTTTCTCAATTTGCCCTAGATCCGGCAAAAATGAACATAATGGCATGGGATTTTTCAAAATGTACAATTTCTGCAAAATAGTATGGTATAATTGGCTCGAAATAAGGTTTCTTTTTTTGAATTAGGAGAAAGTCTGTACCTCAAATTACAAGCTCATCAATCAAAGTCACGTGGGTGCTCTTCAATGTCTTCTTCGAGTTCTAGCGTAAACTTCAGTATTTTTCACATTTGTCTGACGACAACAATAACAAAGTGTTGCTAATATTCCAGGTTCTTTTTCAAGTACTTGTGTTTCTCTTTTTATTTTTTACATTTACAATTTAAAGTCACAAAGCAAAGCTTCGTTTCATCTTCGTGAGATTAGGATTCTCGTCTTTCTCGTTTGTCAGAACTTCAGTGTTATCTTACATGAACCGCGTGTTAAGTCGTTTTAATACAGTACAAGGGTTGTTTCATAAACTTTGAGAGTTTTTCAAAAAGATCCAGTGGAGTTTCAACAATTGAAAGTATTTTATTTCTCGCATGGCCCCAACAGCATTTTGCAGCACTTCACTATTGTTAAACATATACTGTACTCAACTCTGGATTCCATGCATTTTTCATGCCATAAATCTAATGATTAGAACATCAGTGCCAAAATCAAGTTTTGGAAAATGAATTAAAATGGATTGAAACTGCCAGAGAGTATGTTGAATAACACTGAAGTATGGCCAAATGATGGGGCTATGCAAGTAAAAAAAGAAATTGGAGTTGTTGAATCTCCACTGAATCTAATTCAAAAAGTCTCAAAACGTATGAACCAACCCTCGTATAATTAAGTTGATTGAGTGAATTTTAACAGGGTGGAAAAAGTCAGTCCTTCAAGGCTAATAGGCACTGTATCAACACCGAATTTTCGGTTGATGGACTTTTCAGATAATGGACAACCTGAACTTCCTGAATAAATCACGTTATTTTATTATATGCCAGGCCCCAGAAAAGCAGCTCGAATGATGTCAATCACATATAGGGAATTGCAGGATATCCCCATTTTATTTCACTGAACTGTAAGTCGTTTCTAATCAATTGAATCGTGAACACAATGTTCTTTTTTCATGTATGTCGAAAATACGACCTCGAAGGGATTTGAATGCGATTTTTTTTTGCCAATTTTCGAAAGCGTTTCGACAATAAATTTCATCACTCCTTCGTTGATTTCATGTCCGACTCACGTGAAGGTTCGTGGATGACTCCGATGGCCATATTCTTCCGGAGAATGTGTTCGATGAGGACGATACTGGTGTTGCCTCGATATTCCCAAAGACCATCGATGAAGTTTGCCCATTTCGAGTCTATGTTTTTCATTAGCGAGTAACTTTGGGGAAGTTCCGATCTGCAAAAAAAAAGGGCAGTTCATATTATCTTATTGAATTTCCCATTGAAACATTTCATAATGGTTCATTGCAGTCTGCTTATAGAAAGAAACTCGTATCTCGTCACTTGAGGTTAAATTCATGGTGGATGTTTTCAACAATCTTTTACTTTCCCGGATTATATAGAAATAAACTGCCGCAAACATTTGCAAACCTTTTTATTCTGGGAATATTCGGTTGTTCGAAACCTCATGGATTTTTAGGTTTTTTTTTGGAAACCAATGAAATTTATTTTGTGTTGAAAGAATGAGGAATGAAAGAGCATACAGTATTTTTGCCTGATTTTGCGTCAAATTTAATAGGACTCGTTAATAAGCTGTTAACTGGTACCTTACAAATTTTATTATTTTGTAATCGATTTTCAAGAAATCTTGAAGACTCTATTCAGGTACTAAAAATGGAAACGTGATTAAACATTTTTGACACAAGAATGAGAGCATTTCACGTACATGTACCGATTCAAAGTTTTTTTAAATATTGATATATTGTAGCTTCTGAATATTCAAAAATAATTTTAAGATTTAGTGGCATCACTGCAAATGGCATGCTGGGTTCCTTCGTGGCAACACTTCGTTTTACTTCGATCATTCAGAAAATGTTAGATTACCGGTATTTGCACGGATTGATAAAAATGGGTGATGATTGTTTCACTGATGATTTTTCTCTCTTCCGGCTATGCAATTATGTATCCATGAGAGAAAATTGTTTCAGAAAAATTAACAATGGTGGAAGACGCCGTAAGATTCAGGCAATTGTTTGTAATTATCAGGGGATCTAACCTGACTTGCTCTTTATTACTGTATAATATTGCCCGTGAAACAGTAAAAATTCGACAGACTCTTGCACTATTAAGCATGCATTGTATGCATCAATCCTGTTCAGAAATCCGATTATGTCAGTGATTTAAAATCACTGTTTGTTAAATTCCAAGTACTAGACATAAAAGTACCATATATTTACTCAATAACACATACCCTCAAGTAAGACCCACCCAGCAAATAATTTGGGCGTTAACTGCTAGGGTTTATGCAGTAAAAACGGCCGTATAGACGTCCAGGGTGGACGTCTATCCAGGCGGCCACTGAGACCATAAAAAGCGGGCATTATACCCGCCTGGAGAGACGGGGATAGGATTGCCACTTCCCCTGGCGGTTATCCTGGCGGTTTGGGCGCCCCCCCCCCCATATTCCCGCCAAGATTCCCGT